GACAGGCGATTTCGGCGTTCATGCAAGGTGCCGCGCTCTGAACGTCGAGTATCCCGCTTTCGTATGCGGCGCTTCTTCTCCGCGCGGGCCACAGGCGTTCCCGTCGTTGAAGATCCAGCTGTATACTCCTCCACTGACCCGTCATCGTCACTCTGCGAAGAGGGGACAAGAATTTGCTCTGTAGGTGCAGGTGCGGGGATTGCGGCTGCTGGTGGCGGGTCTGTGGGTATGGAGACATCGCGAATGACTGGCTGGATAGTCTGAGGTGCAGGCTCCGGAGGTGGCGAGGGAAGGACATTCGCGACCAAGGTCACTGGCGGAGGCGGGGACGGTTCAACCGGCGCCGCAACTGGAGCCTCGTCGCGCACTGTAGTCCAGGTCAGCTGCGAGGAAGCAGAATAGAACGAGACGATACGGACACGCCCAGAGGTCCACAACGTTCCCGTTCGCGACCTGGACCACTGCTCCATCGTCGAAGACGAGCCGGAAGGGTAACTGAGCGTGGGCAGACGTCGTGCCCGTACTTTCGACTCGTGCTCCGCGTAGAGCCAACTTGAGCGGCGCCTTCATGGCCAACGGCAGTCGTTCGACCATAGCGCCGCGCAGTTCAACGTTGAGCTTCCATCCTCCGTCGCACGAGAGCTGGAGTCTGCGACTGCCGCGGATGAGAGGCCAAGCCATGGCGACCGTGCCAGAAATGAAGCCCGACGCGTCGAGCGCGGTCTGTAGGCCCACCGCAGGGCGTTCGTTGGCAGGCGCAAAGACATTGGTAACGTCGTCGTCGACGCGTGCGATCTTGGATGGGCGTTCAGGTGAGGTCGGACTTGCGGCTCGCTTCATCGGCCTGGTCGGGGTCAAGAGCGCGTTATTTGGTCAGGCGCAGTGTAAACAACTTCTTCCTTTGCCCTCCACTGCATGCATTTCTCAAAGGGTACTCAACGACAGCCGGATAGAGTTCTTATAATGCAGTACAAAGTCATTTATTTGATAGCGCCGTGTTAACCCCGGTTCATGGTATTCCCTTCGCCTTTCCTGTGCGTGTCTGTGTACTGCGCCCACTTCTCGTCCTTCTGCCGTTTCTCCTCCGCCTTTTGTTCGCCGAAGAACGTGCCGTCGTCCTCTGCATCCATTGCGAGCTGCTCCGATGTCGTCGGCTGGTCCAAGGACGCTTGCCCTCCGCCTTCAATAATGTTCCCTCGTTGTCGCTCCTCTTCGAGGTATTCGTCGATGGTCATGGTGGGAAGTCGGTGGTCTGGACGAAAGACTTCGGCTTGTAAACGCTGACGATCCGAAGCTGCACCTGCAGGGAGGATGGTGAATGGACGGAGCGGCTAAGAGTGGTGTTAGCAATGTCCAGCGGTTTGAGAGCGGTCGACACACCTTCCCTTTGCTGTCAAGCAGCGGGCCTCGCGTCCCGGGCACGACGCGCGAGTCCAACCGCCACGTTGCATCGTCTTGCTCGCCTGGTGCAGGTGGACCGGGCGGTGGAGGGGGGATACTGCGTAGTACTTCGAGCTCTTGTTCCATGGAACCAAGCTGAGCTTGCGCTTTGGACCACATGAGCCTCAGACACAGGAGAATGACCTTGCGCGAGCCGTCGTCGTCGTCATCTGACGGGGGTGTACCCTCTTCAGGTAACAGAGCGAGAATGTCGTCGAACTCGGTGCCGCCATCTACTGTCGGTTGCCCGCGGGAAGCGCGTAGACTCTGCAAGCAACACGATGAGCAAGCATGTAATCGGGTCACACGAATAGGTTACTGACATCGATCATAGCCCGGACAGCCTTCTCATTCTTGTACTGATTGATCTTGGTCTCTCGCCTGCGTGCAGGATCTGTGCTGGCGGTCGACCAGAGCGCCTTGTCCTCCGTAGGCACAACGTCGTACTGATCGAGCATAGAAGTAAAGCGTCTGAGGAGAATCTGCAACAGTCTCAGACCGAGTACGTTCAGAGACAGCTCTGGGCGCACCTGTGCTTCTTTGAGGTTGATGACACGATCTGCTGGATCTGGTGTTCGGAGGCGGCCCTTGAGCTCGGACAGCGCAAAGGGCGCGAAGAGGTAGACCATGTCGCGAGCGGTGAGGTCGTCGACGGTCTCGTTCGGGCTGAAGAGAGCAAGAGAGTCGACGCGCGTAGAGACTGTGCGCAGGTCGCTGAGGGCGGACGCGATAATCTCCTGTGTATGCGCCACATCAGCGAGCTGCACGCGTCGCAGCGCCCAACGAACAAACTTGGGTCTCGTCGTCGGCAGCGGACATGTTCACGGCTTTGGCGCCGTTTCTGAGGGCGCGTCTGAGCAGATCGACGAGCGGGATATCGTGCTGGGCCATTTCGCGGTGTGGTCCAAGGCAGGCTGCGAGTTCGGGTTCCGGCGAGATTTTGCTTCCCTCCCCATGCATCGTACATGAGCGACAAAGGTCCCAAGGTCTCGCGGTCGCTGGCCACGGGTCTCGTCAGCGGCCTGGCCTCTACGCTCGCGCTCCAGCCGTTCGACTTTCTCAAGACGCAGATGCAGCAGGCCGAGGCGCCGCCGAGCATTCGTGCTGTCGTCTCGCGCTACGGAATCTGGAGTCTCTGGCGCGGCACCGTGCCCACTTTATGGCGAAACGTGCCTGGCATCGCGCTCTACTTCACGGCCCTCGCGCGTCTGCGACCTGCCCTCGCACAGGTTCCTGCCTTACAGAACGGCGGGCGGCTCTCTAGCTTCGGCGACGCCCTTGCAGGCGCAACGACACGCGTCGGCGTCGGCTTCGTGCTCAACCCTCTGGCCGTACTCAAGGCCCGAGTAGAAAGCCAGCGTCACGCCTACCCCAGCTTGCTCCAAGGCTTGCAGTCGCTCGCGCGGGAAGGACGCCAGGGCGTGTTCCGCGGTGCCGGCGTCAGCGCTCTGCGAGACGCGCCTTACGCTGGCGTTTACATGGCCTCTTACCAGCGTCTGAAACTCCTCGGTAGACAGACCCGTCTCCTGGCAGACTCGCACACGGCGGTCAACACGCTGGCTGCCGCTACCGCAGCTGCTTTCGCCGGTATCGTTACGCACCCTTTTGATGTTGTCAAGACTCGAATACAAGTCCGTAACGAAGTGCACTATAGGACAATACGTAGTACGGCCATGCACATATGGGAAACCCGTGGGATACGCGGTTTCTATGATGGCCTTTCTCTCCGCTTTGGTCGCAAGATGGCTGGCTCGACGATCGCATGGGTCGTCTACGAGGCAATCATCGAGCGTTGGCACTAGGCACTTGCACTGCAAGGAACATCTCACCACTCCGCTACACATCTTGTATTCAAAATCTACGTGCACAGATCTACACGTTACTCCGTGTTCATAAGTTCGAGGGACTTGTACGCCCCGACACTCTATTTCTTCTCCACATGGTCCATACCAAGGTCGCCGTGTCCCGTCCAAAGCGGACCGCAGGCTCTGAACGCCGTCTGGGGATAGATGCTGTCGATAAGTTCGAGTTCTTCGAAGTTCAATTCCACGAGCTTGCTGTTCGCTGTGCGGGCGGTCAGTGCACGCTTTCCGGATGTGCGTTTGCCCCTCACCGATGATACGCTCCGGCTTGACGGATTTGGGAATGACGCTGTGGAATGGTCAGGCTTGTTTCTCTGCCTCAGAGAGCACACTTACACTGTCCACGGCTGTGAAGCAGAGTAAGGTCAGACTCCCAAGTCGACGTCGTCCAAGTGGAACATCTCACCTGATGAACCTGGTACGAGATCAAGATCTGCGCTGCGCTGCATCCGTGCGCCTCTGCGATCTTGAGAATGAGCTTGTCTTTCAGGAGGGGCGAGTTGTCGGAGCCGAGAGGACTGTAGCTGGTAAGTACGATGCCTTTATCGACACAGTATTTCCGAAGCTCCCTCTGAGGCAGGGCCCTTTTGGTACGTTGTCAGAGCTATCATCTGAACGAAAACCGCTTCACGGACGGGTGCAGCTCGACCTGGTTGACAGCTGGCACGACTTTGGCGGTCTTGAGGAGGCGCTCCAGATAGGGGACGGAGAAGTTGCTAACGCCTAGACGTAGTCAGAATTGTTACTGAGCACAGTGTCAATGGCTTACCAATTGCGCGAACCTTGTCCTTGTTGGCTTCGTACATTTCCTCCATGTGACGCCAGGTATCGAGCCAGTCCCATTCCTTGTCTGCCGTACCTGGACCCAACGTCAGCAACCGTAGAACTTCTCCAATCGATAGAGACATACCGTCCTTCATAGGTGCGGGCTATGCTGTTATCAGAACTCTGCCACTCGATAGGGTGTGGATCATACCCAATGCATGAGCCCTGCAGCAGGTCAGAGGAGGTTTTCTCGGATAGCGCAAGACGTACAGAGGTCTATATAACCAGCATCAAGCCTCTTGAGATGCGCCTGGAACGCGTCTTTCACGGAGCGGTGGTCGGGGTTGTCCAACTTGGTGGTGACTTCGCAAGATGTCAGCGCATACATCGTGCTATAGCTACTGTCGTGGTCGTACGGAATATGCTCTCTCGCGGAACGCCAGATGCCTGCATCATGCGTTAACTCAAGGGAAGATGTAGTCGAAAGGGCGCCCGCCTTGATCCCTTTGCCGACACCCTCTTCGTTGCTGAAGAAAGATCAGAGCTGCAGCGACGAGTGCGCCAATAGGGGCTGACCGGTATCCTGCAGCGGTATCGATGTGTCTGTATCCATTCTCGAGCGCGACCTTGACGGCGTTCTCGACTTCTGCGATGCTGGACTTCCAGGTGCCTGCGGAACGGTCAGGAATGGCGGGCCTGCAAGCGGCGCACAGACGGAACCTAGGCCTAGGGTAGGCATCTTCGCGCCCGTGTTGAGCGTCACTGTTTCGGGGAGAGGCATGTTGGTAGCTATCGATGGGGGTACTGTTCAACAGCACCAATGCCGTAGGGGCGACCTTATATGCAAGTGGCCGACGGGGGCCGGACCGATGACGAAAGAGGCAGCATTTATGGCTAATCGCTCATATCCTTTACTTTTGAGCGCAATCTCACGGCCGCCTGGCGAAATGGCATCGCGTCTGACTACGATATCAGCACTAGCTGGTTGCGATCAGGAGATTGCAGGTTCGATCCCTGCGGTGGTCAATATTCATTACCTCTTTTGTCTGTATCCTTCAGACCCATTTTTGCACCTTGTCGCTTCCATCCCGTTCTTCCCGACATTTCTGAGCTGGTTTTACAGTTTTAGTTGTGTTCACCAGAGCAAGGACTCGATCCGGTATTTGTGTTGTCACGTCGTCCAGCCTGGTTCGACCTGAACAGCACCAATGCACCCCACCTCCCGTCCTTCTTGCCATTCTTCACTTCTCTGACTCCTTCCTGACATGGTTGGGATTCATCAAGATTTATTGTTGTTAACCACCGCAGGGATCGAACCTGCAATCTTCTGTCGTTATTCTCAGAGCCATTGAATTCTATTCGTTGAATGAATGAATGACGGGTGGGGAAAGTACACCTAGCGTAGCCTACAGGACAGCACCACAAAGAAAAGATAATCTATGCCACACAGTGCCTCGTCGACCCATATAACATTACTCGGTGAAGACGTGCGAACATGGAACGTGTCCAAGCGCGACGTCGAGAAAGAGTGGAGGTGCTTTGAGTCAATCCTGTAAGTCATCGCAAGAGCGACGGTGCGCACTCGAGCGCATCACCCGGTCGGTTGGAAATCGTGACAGCGCCGCAGGCGGTATGCGACGACCAAAGTATACGCGTCGCAGAAAGTATAATTCTTCGTCGTCTCGCGCGGCCAAAGCGCAGACGGGGGTGAGGTTGTTATTTCTGCTCGGCAAGCTCGAGCAGGACACGACCGACGCCACGCATCTCGACAGCACAAGTACTGCCGATCCCGCCAGGAC